TGAAGCCACTAACCCCAAGACAATAGGATTACTCCTGGAATCTCATGCTGGGAGAAGGAAAAGGTGACTGGTCAGACAGATTTGCAGGAGAGATTCAGACAGAGTCATGGTGATGGGCGGGACTAGACCTTTGCCAGGACAGCTTAGTTATGCAAGCCTCCTGCCTTCTATTTAAACCTAATTCATGTCAGGACCCACCCTGAAGATGAACTAGGGGTTACCGAACCTCTTTGTTCCTCTTCCCAGTGTGGCCACATTGACCAAATCTCCTTTTTCTGCTTTTCACTATTGTGTTTTTATCTAGTCTACTGAGGACAGGTGAGGGAGCCTAGCTTGCTGGCACTGCAGGGCTAGCAGCTGCTGGGGAGGAGGACTGCAGCCCCATTGCTAGCTCATTTTAAAAGGTTCCTTTCTTCTGCTGTGGCGTGTTCCTTCCGCTAGGGGACAGACGTCAACAGGGAACCGCAGGCACCAAGGCCCTCCTGTTCACAGTCAAGTACTGGCTGGCTTTCTTCAAAGCCCTCTTCACTGATAACGTCTTTCCTTATTCAAGAATGCCGGGAAGCCCAGGGAGGGGGGCTTCCTGCCCAGGCTGATGTGTGCATGGGTAGGGCAAAGGCTGCTCCATGCCTTCTAGCACATTTCATTCTCCTCAGGCTCGCCGGTGCCATCCTGTCACGCTGCAGTGAGCAGTCAGCAGTGTGGAACACACTGAGTTAAGCCCCTGAGTTTAAGTCAGGGCTCCCTACCTGCTTTTTTGAGTTTCAGTCTCCTCAGAGGGGCTAAGGATAGGACAAGCAACTAAGATCTAATGCAGAAAATAATCCTTCCCCAGAACAGGGAAAAGTAGAGGTCCTGAATGCCACAGACACCACCAAGATGCCCAAATCTGGGACAAAGCAGAACAGCCCACCAATAACCCTGGCAAGGGGAAGGTGCTCAGCAGGCAGCCTGGGGGCAGCATAAGCTGACCCGTCCACTAGTGCCACGTTTCCTCTGTGAGATGGAGAGGCCAGGCGGGCAAGGATGCCAGCTGGAGTGGCACACATCAACATTCCCTCTTGGGCCAGCAAGGACAAGCGTCAGACCTATCCGATTTACAGGCCGTAAGGAGTGTGGACCTAGTAACTCTGGGTAAGTCAGAGCCTCCATTTGCTCATCAATGAAATGGGCTTAACATTACCACCTACACCAAACAGTGGGACCCAGGGGGGTTTCTGTAAGGGCGCTTACACACTGCGTTTATCCAAGCATAAATAATTAGCGTTAAAGGAGACGGAGGCAGCCATATCAGCCCCTAAGTCAGGGACCCCGCCACGCCACCTCTTCCTAAGTGCCACTGCTTACGACTTGGATGGCAGTCTCCTTCTTCTAAATTAAGATGGCCATAGGGCAGGCCGGCTCTGCGTTCCATGTATGGCCTAGCTGCCACACCACCGCTTACAAATACAGGCAGAAACAGTGAGGTGGCGGGCTTGGAAAGTAAAAAGTCAACAAAACGCAGGAACTCCACTTCTCTTTCTCCTCCTGCCTGGGAACCCCACTCCCCAGTCGGCCACAGCTCAGTAGTTAACAACCACTTCTTAGAAACCATGGTTTATCCCCTGGCCTTGCGGTTAGTGCATGTCTGCCCGTAACCACTCACAGGGATAAAGGATGAAGCGAACCCAGTAAGACACCAGGGCTTTCTTCATTTAGAATTTATTTTGAGCTAAGTGAGCAGACTTGTCTCAGCACTTTCTAAATAAATAGATGAAGCAAATAAGAGGAGGCGCCTCCCCGGCCTAGCTACAGTCAGTTACTGGGTGCCTTCATAAGACAAGGCACCTGAGCGAAGCCCAAGGTGGGCCAGCGGATTCTAGGTGGGGTCGTTGCATAGGAAAGACGAGGGGGACGAGGCTGAGGTGGGTTTCTGAGCGTGTGCACCTGTGGAGTCACAGACAGCCTTGGGGGCCATCCTTTGTCTCGTTTGAGAAGCTCTCTTTGCTGTTCTGTCTCTGTGTGTATCAGGCTAGCCGACCCATGAGCTCCCAGAGGGTCCCTCCTCTTAGGAAGGCTGGGATTACATGCACTACGAGCCGGCATTTATTTGGGATCTAGGGATTTGAACTTAGGTCTTCACATTTGTAAGCATGCACCTTTACCCATTGCGCAATCTAATCCTACAATAGGTTTCTTTCTCTTCCTTCCTTCCTTCCTTCCTTCCTTCCTTCCTTCCTTCCTTCCTTCCTCTCTTCTTTCCTTCCTTTATTTTTTTTATTTAGGCTTGAAGACATCAGTTAGCACCCCCCCACCTCGAGTTAGAAAGCTATAAACTCGCAGCTACCAGGAGGCAGAGAATAGGGAAGAAAAGGAAGGACCATTCTCTGGGCACTGAGAACCAGGAGGGGCCTACAGGGTTTGTCTACTGCTCCTCTGAACGATCATAGCTTCCCTCTACCATTTTGGATGTCACATGCCCCTTGTCCCCTTGAGCAAAGCTAAGTGAGTGCTCTACTTCCCCTTGCAGAAATGTTCCTATTATGTAAGTGTTACTACAAGAAAATGATGTTTATTCAACATCTGCCCATTCCGTTAAAAGAAAAAAAAAAAAAAAAAAAACACATAAGGAGGCACGGAGAAACCCCGGGCCACTGCAATAAGAGGAAGTTTCTTAACTCTGCACAGTGGAAACTACAGGATTTGCTAGAAAATGTGACTTAGTCAGTTAGAGCATAGCAAAAATATCAGCAGAAGCAGAAGAAAAAAATACTTCCCCTTAGAAATCTGCAGATGCTCTCTGCCTGCAGATCAGGATGCAGGCTGCAGCTTTCACCAACTTCTCCAGAAACATGCCTGCCATGCTTCCCGCCATGGTGGTAATGGACTAAACCTCTGAAATCCCAGTGGAGCCCAGAACTTCCCTAACAGCATCCCTGCCCACGTTGAAGGCCTAAGTTCGGCAGCGGAAGGCTTTGCCATGGAGGTGAAGGAAGCCGATGGGGAACTATATGTCTGGGAGCTGTCAGAAGGTCCACCTTGTCCATACAAGATGTTTTTAGCGAGGACTGAGACTTGGAGCTGAAAGCAGACCAAGAGAATTCTAATGATGCTAATGACATCCAGGGGACCAAGCTTCACGAGCTAAAACCTTGGGTATGGTGTGCCCCATAAGGAGACATGATGTATGACCCCAGCTGGCATTATCCACCTCCACTCCTCTTTGGATGATCAATGCCCTCCTGCTGCTCTGAGCCCCACAAAGGGATCTGGGACCTCTCAGCTGACAGAAGCGCAGCACAATTTGAGCAAAGCCATGCCATCTCGTTTCTTCCCTGTTGACTAGCCACCTGAGCTAGTCATCAGCGGCCTTTAACCCAGCTGCTTGTTTTACTCTCAGGGGCAAAGGGCACATGAGTCAAAAGAAGGCTGATTCTCCAGGGGACAGAGCACGGCTGAGCAGCTGTGGGGCCAGGCCCTCTCTAGTCACCTGCTCCACCTTCAAGGTATGGACCTTGGGAGGTCTGCACTGAGCATTTACTGCCTGGAGCGCCATTCTGTGCATGGGTGTGCCTGGGGGAGGGACACATGTGCCATCATGTATATGGATGTGTGCAGATGTACATGTGTGTTGAGGCCAGAGGTCAACGCCCCGGTGTCTCCACTTTACTTTTTGAGATTTCCACGTGAGGTTTGTTCCCTCTAAAGTAACCAGGTCCATCCACTGTGCCACTGCATGTGGGAAATGCCTCACTCACCCCCTCTCCCCGGACCCCAGGGTAGTCCTCAGGCCCTCTGTTCCCCTCACTCATCTGCAACGAACTAAGTGCAAGGCCATGGCGGGGGGCGGGGGTTACAACTTAGTAGTTGTCCACTAAAGTTAAACAAACAAAATGAGAAAACTAACATTATCTGATACTTTGCTCCAGACTCTGACCTATGCCCTATATCTAACGCCATCACATAAGGGAAGCGCCCAATGTCACGAGCTGAGACAGGACAGAGGCACGATTAAAATCTGAACCATCTTCTGCCAGGGCCCAACTCTGTCTTGTAGGCGATTTAGCCCCACCCACAACTCAGGAACAGAATTCAGCACAGGCCCTGGGTGCTAGTCATGAATAACTGAGTTGTTTGGTTCTCGGCAGGTTGTGACTTCATCTTTACGAGTCCCTTAATGTAATATAGCTCTAACATGGAAAGCTGTGTATTTTAGACATTTCCTGGTGATAAGTGAAACAAGACCAACCACAATCAAAAGCAAAGGGACAATCCCACAATGTCCTTTAGAACAATAAGTGATTCATTGAGAAGTTATCTCCTCACTCATCTACGGAAGCTAATAGCTGAAACGGTGTCTCAGAGTTAGGGTCCCTATTGCTATAGAGACGCCATGACCAAGGCAGCTCTAATAAAGGAAGCATTATACAGGAAGTTTGCTTGAAGTTTCAGGTTGGTCCATTACCACCATGGCGGGGAGCAGACAGGCATGGCACTAGGGCAGTAGCTTGGGAGCTTTACCTCCTGATCCACGGGCAGCAGACTGGGCCTGTGACACACCCCACCCAACAAAGTCACATCTACTCCACCAAGGCCACACCTCCCACTCCTTCTCAAACAGCTGCCAACGGATGAGCCTATGGGGGCCATTTTCATTCAAACCATCACAAAAGGAAAGGACACTTCTCTACAGCTAGAGAGACACATTTCTCACACCTCCCAAAATAGGACACGAGGAAGCAGGATCGAAGCTGAAATCCTGGGAAATACAGTTTCATACTTGCTAATTTGACCTTCTCTTAGACTCTCTTTTCACAGAAATCTCCATGGTAATATTTCGAGCGAGTCATCTCTCTGACTCATGAATGTCGAGAGGTACGAAAGTCATGAACTACAGCGATCGCTCCTCTAAAAGAAGGGAGCGCTGATTAAATGACTGTTATTTCAGGCATCTAGACTCTCCTCGTTCTCTCTTGATGCACGGCCAGGGAGTGATTCACTCTGCTGCGTCAGACATCCAACACCTGAGCAGAACAGCTCAGATGCAAACGGTGGTGGCTCACAGGCTGATCAAAGGGAAGGCAGATCTAAGTGACACGTGGCACAAACACCAACCACATCCCTCTAAGTCAACAAAGACAACATGTTTTTGATGGCCCCAAGGAGGCTTGCACAGTCTATTCAAGTAGAAGGGTGAAACATCTGATGATACTAAAACCAGAATGCCTTTCGTTCTAAATGTCCCTTGCAGACCAGGGCCACCTCTAGCCACATTACCCAGGATGCGCAGATAAGACTAAAGACACACCAACTCCCACAACTTATAGTGTGTGTTGTGTTCCCCAAGTTCATCTCCTGTCCCTCCTAACACATAGCTCAATTAGTTTATCTACGTTTGTAGTAGTTAGCTCAAGCCACCTGATTAAGTACTGACCAATAGAATTGTGGGTAGAGATGACACACATCGTTCTCAGGCCAGGCTTCTAAAATCTGTGATGAGATCCTCTACACAGTTTCTACTTCTTCAATTGTCAGTCACATACAGAGGGCCCTACAAAGATTCCAAGGCCTCAAAAAGATGCTGGGACTACTGGCTGACCACATGGAACAAAGAGATCTCCTAGCCCGACCCACAACTAGACTATGACACAGCAGCGAAGCAGGCATCGCAACTGAGTGTACTCTGGTACTGCCGTCAGTGTTTGCCATGCGGACAAAGCTACCTCAATTGGTTATGATCATGCTGTAAGGAATCAGTGGCATCTACACCTACCTGTGTCATTGCCAATGCAATCGATGATCACGCAGATTCCTAAGGGCTTGCTCTGCATCCTGTAACTCTCTTCATGTATGTGCTAGAAAAGGAGGCAGGGACAATTAGAGACATTGGACACTTCTCTGTTCCCTACAGTCTCACTCAGGAGCCAACTCTTCTTTTGGGCTGTCTTAAACATCCCTTTGACAGGTGAATCACTCAACAGATGGAGGCTAAAGTCCTCACAGCTGACATTTCCCGTTAACGTCAAAGTTTTCCTCTGTTACGGTAATACGTTTAAGACAAACAGCTACATCAGTACTCAATTTTAGTGAGAACTGTAATCTCTTTGCCATGTGTCTTTGCAGAATAGAGATACTTTGGAAGAGAGAAGGAAGATGGTCAGTTGCTGTCACAGAAGCCTAAAGCAGCAACAAGAGACAACTGTTTAAGCCAGTACAAATGGAGGCCTTCCATTGTCTCCTCTTCAGAAGAGGAGGTTGTCAACCCAGACAAAAGCCAGGGCCCAGCACAGTTCAGCAAAGTGTCACTGTCCACTGGTTCAAGCAGTAGTCACCTGGCTGAGGTGAGAGCTACCACTTAGAATTTGCTTGTGTTCCAAAGCTCACTAACAATGTCCCCCTGGACATTATTTTTCTTTGCTATAGTCAAGATTCCCAGCTGATATGTTCTCAGGAAAATTATGCACAGGTACCCAGTCGTCACAAAGAATTTTTAAGAACAGTTTTGGCTGTTTGTTTGCTGGCTTGTTTTTTAAGATGTCAGTGTTCGTTCTAGTGAATAACTTGCATACACTACCAAATCAGAGAATTTATTCTTTACCGGAGGCGGAAACACTCCTGATTCCTGAATGGATGTCTTCACTGGTTTTCCTGGGGGATAAGAGAGAGAATCATTTACAAAGCAGAACTAAACCACACCCATGCCAGCCAAGTTCTTTTTATCATGACTGTTTTCTTTGTCCTTCTGGTTTTCCTCCTGTTCTTTCTCCAGCTAAACTCAGCCTAAAGTTCTAACCTCGAATGGAAAAGCCTGACCCAAAGAAAAACTCAAGAGCCCTGATACTCCAGGACTATGTAGAAAAAAACATGATGAGCGAGTGAAAGCAGGCCCTTTACCCTCCTCAAGGAGACCACCAGGTGGCCGGAGAGTTTTTAACCTGATAAGGAGAATTTTAAAATGTCACTTCATGATACTGATGGCTTTCCTACATGAGCCAAAACTAAGGGCAACATCTAAAGAGACCAGCTTTGGAGCGTGCGGGAGAGGGGGGCTGATGTGTGTGTGCTATATACAGAACAGATGGTCAATGTTTTCATAGTTCAGTGATGCTAGGAGATGAGAAAATAAAATGTCAGCAGCAAGACAGAGCTCAGCAAGCCTGGAGAGTGCTGATGAGCCCACAGCAAACTCGGCTCCACAACAATGACTCACTTAGCCTGCCCAAGTGTGGGAAGCACTGGGCTTTGAAGGCACCACGAGAGGGCTGGCTCACACCTTGGCACTGAGGAGCTGTCATCCTGTTATCTCATTTAGTGTCCAGCCCAAGACTGCTGCAAAGTGAGAAGTGATGTCTAAAGATAAGGAAGAAAAAAGAAACCTTACCAGTGTCTGTTAAGACTCGGGGGAAATGAATTGGGTTGCTTGGTTTTGTTTTGAGTCTGGTCTTGCTTCAGAGGTAGTCTCTTGATATGTAGCACACATATCAAGCTGGCCTCCTGCTTCAGCTCATGGATGCTAGGATCATAATCCTGTGCTACCATACTCAGCTTTGAACCAGTCTCTCCCTCTCCTTCTCCCTCACCTTCTCCCTCTCCCCCTGCCTCTTCCTCTCCATCTCCCTTTCTCTCTGTGTGTGAGTGTGAGCATTGGTGCATCCATGTGCAGGTGCAAAGCACCCCTGCTTTCACATGTGGAGGTCAGACACTGATGTCAAGTGTCTTTCTTAATCACCTTTTATCTTATTTATTACAGCATCTCTCATGGAACCCAAAGCTTAACTCACATAGGCTGGCTGGCCAGCAAGCCCCAGGGATCCTCCTGTCTCTGTCTCCCCAGTGCTGGGATTACAGGCACGTACCACTGCACTTGGCTTTTGTATGTGGGTGCCAGAGATTGAACTCAGGTCCTCACGCTTATGTAGAAAGCATGTCACCAACTGACCCAATTCCCCCGACCCTGAGGGAGATTTCTAAAGGGTGCTAGCAATATCCTTTAAGATAAATTGTGCTAGCAATATCCTTTAAGATAAAGTGTGCAATTATTCTTTAAGATAAGTTTGTTTGGTTGGTTTTGGTTTTGCTGTGGGTTTATGGGGTTTTGTTTGTTTGTTTGTTTGGTTGGTTGGTTTGCCAAGACAGGGTTTCCCTGTGTAGCCCTGGCTATCCCGGAACTCGCTCTGTAGACCAAGCTGGCCTCCAACTCAGAGATCCACCTGACTCTGTCTGCTGGAGTTAAAAGCGTGCTCCACCACTAACTGAAACTTTTAGAAGTTTTTTTAAAAAATAATAAATCATTAATTAAAAAAAAAAAAGTATGACAAAGACATCTGTTGCCTGACTGCTCACATTGGTCCAGGCTGGGAAAAAGTCACAAGCATGAAACTGGTTAAGTCAATTATGATACATGTGATTGCATACTCTACCATGTTTAAAAGGCTAAGAGTAGTTGCTATGCGTTTGACATAACTATGCAACCCATTTATTTTAAAATGGATGATTAAATAACATATACCTAATATAGACTAACATGTACAGACCTTTTTCTTGTCATTGTTCCATAAAGGATAAAGTATAAAAACTATAGCAATCCATCGCACTGAGCATTGTAAATAACCCAGAGATGGCTTAAGTGAGGAAGGGAATGTGGTCAGGTCATATGCAAACACCACACCTTCCTGTAGAAAAGACACGAGCATTTGCAGATTGTAGAGTCCACGTGTGCCCTGGAACAAAGTACCTATAGACACTGAGGGACAAGTGTGTATTTTCTAGGTAAAGGTCGAGGGGTTTAAATCAACCGCTGGAGAGGTTGTAGCTCAGTGGGCGAGCACTTGACCAGCATGTATGGGGTTCTAGGCCGAACCCCCAACAGCTGAACAGAAACACAAGCATGTAAATCAAATACCAGCCGGGCGTGGTGGCCCAGGCTTGCATTTCCAGCACTGTACAGGAGGGTGGTTGGCAGAGGCCTCTCTGAGCTATGTAATGAGACCCTTTCTAGCAAAAATTAACAGTGGAACAAAACAATCCAAGCATGAACTGCGGCTACCTCTGCTGTATGAAACCAGGAGGAAATTTTACTTGATTTTCTTCTGTTATAACAATCACTGTTCACTTTAACAGAAAAGAAACCCCGCAAGATAGGCTGCTCACGGCATTCTGGTTACTGCCCAGCCTGCTGTCCCCTTGGCAAGTACTCAGACTATATCCCCTGTGGCAGGGACACGCCTATCTCAGTGGCTTGGCATCTCAGCTGAAGATCTGGGAGCCAGATAAAACGTGGTCACCACGACCATCATGACCTTGCTGTAGGAATCAGTTGGAAGTTCAAACCGGCCTGAATCCACTATCTTAAGCTTCTTAGTTGAAAGCCAACTTAAAGGAACGCCTTCCCTTCCATGAGTGAGTTGAGTCCTGGTCAAAGCAGAGAGGCGGCTCTCCTAACAGTGCCAGCAGGGGCCAGGAGGCCCAAGTGCACACCAGACCAATCTGTGATAGGGTCACAGAGGGAAAAACCCATCTGTTTTACGTTCCTAAGCAAGCTTTCAGGGTGCTAACTCTTCCACCTCACCAGTGTTTTAAGAAACAGGCTGTAGCTTCAGGAATTAATTCTGTTCTCAACAGTTTTCGCTGGAGAGAGGAACGTTGGGTAGGGGAGCAGCAGGCGTGAGCGGCACCATCTGGCTAGCCGGGTAAAATGGTTCTCAGCTTCCAGGAGCACCTGCAGGCTACACACGCGGCACCCACATGGCTTCCGTCAGGGCGCTGCCTCGCTCAAAGCGCTCGGGTGCCCCTCTCACGTCCGTGCCCCTTTACCGCGCACACAGCCAATTCGAAAGGCCCCTAGGGAGCACTGGAGCCCTCCATATTCCACAGGGGCCTGCTCATGTTGGCTTGAAATGCAAGCTACCTCACCAGGGTAAGGCTGAGTCTTGACACTTTCGAAAGGCCTCAGTGCAACAACAACAACAAAAACCTTTTATTTTATTTTATGTTATGTGATAAACTAGGGCAATGGTAGTACATCTCTGTAATCCCAGCACTCAGAAGACTGAAGCAGGAGGACTTGAGTTTGAGATTAGCCTGGGCTACCTCATAAATACCAGCCCAGCCAGGGACACACAGCAAGGTTCTGGCCCCCCCTCATAGAAACATAAAAATAAACATGCAAATAAGTAAGTAAGTAATATTTTAGGTAATGCATGAGCTCAAGTGCTGCTGTTTTAATTAAGACCATGCAGATTGAAATGAACAGTCTTTAAATTGCCATTTCTTTTCTGTCTTCTCCGGAGTGCCCAGCTCAGCCCTTCTTCTGGCTGCTAGAAGTTCGGTTTTAGGTACCTTATTACCGTGGTTGGATTAACGTTTACCATAGTCTGGTTATAGCTGCGTTTCAGATGTACAAATGTCACTTCACTCACAAACCCAGGCGAGGCGATGCCTGAGGATGTCGGTGCTCCTCAGATTTAGATGAGCTAAGCCAGAGTAACTGTGTCAGTGAGTACATAAAATGTGTTTTCTGCTCCTTGAGAGCTTCATTAAAATACGTGACTAAAAGAAATAGCCAGCTCTAAAATAAAACTTCTCTTTCCTTTTCTTTCTGTTTCTTGTTTTTAGATGGCAGGGTCTCAGTATGTTGCTGGTCTTGAACTCCTGGGATCAGGAGATCTTTCTAGTTCAACCTCTCAAGCAGCTAGGTCAATAAGCTTGGACCACCACACACAGTAATGTGTCATTTTTTTTCCCCAGTGCTGGAGATCAAACCCAGGGCCTCATTCACACTAGGCAGGTGCCCTATCACTGAACTATACCTCAGCATCTTGTACTGAAGTTAAACATTTATAAAGAATAGAGAAAAGAAATTGATGGCTTACTTTGAATGCCAAGGCGTTCCACAAATCTTTGTTCTTTACTTCTCCCATTCTGGAGCTTCAAATATAAAAAAAGAAGGTCATATTGTGTTAGTTTCTTCAGAAGCTCACTATGTTACACCTCTTTAAATAGCTCAATATTTTTACACAGGAGGGGAAAAAAATAAAAATATCACCTTCACGGTTACCTAAAAACGAACTGCGGGGACTATTAACTCCATAGATTCCATATTTTATTGTGAGAGATCAAGTCACTCTCCCAGTAAGCAATGAAAACACTATGAAGGTGGAACTATATTTAAACTGCATACTACACTGCTTCAAAACAGCTGTGAGCCAGCGGTTATAGTACAGCACAGGTATCAGCACGGCCCCTCCAAACCTAGAATTTGCTGGGACCTGAGACTGACGCTCGGTCTAGTCCTTTAACACAGGGTCAAAGCACAGCATGGCGACTGTGAGTTTTAGGCTATACACCTCTGGCTGCGAATCCTGCCTCTGCCAGTTCACACCTATGTAGCCTTGAACCAGTCACTTTACCCCTCCAGCTGCTTCTTCAGAGGCAAAAGTGAGGATTAGAATGGAATAGAACCTACCACGTGTTCGGGAGTTTTGTTTTCTATTGCAGATGAGTGTTTTGCATGCCTGTATGTGCCTGTGTGCGTGCCTGGTGTCCATGGAGATCAGAAGAGGCACCAGACCCTCTGGAACTAAAGTTATAGACAGTTGTGGGCCATGGTGTGGGCGCTGAGAATCAAACCTGGGCTCTAAAACACCCAACATAGAGTAGCGTGCATAGAAGCACTTAATAAATGTCTATTCCCAAAGCCCTGAGTCCAACTGGTAGCCCCACCAAATAAACAAGGAACGTTCAATTACGGCTTTTTAAAGTGATCTCTGAGCTACAAGATCAGTGATACGTGGGCACGAAGCACCCCTCAAAGACCGAACTGATCCTTCTCTTCTCTCAGAGGTCGGACCTCTATAAGGTGTCTGCACGTCCTGACTGCTCATATTTCAACAGCAGCTGACCTCTTTAGCTAACCCCACCAAAGAAAGACACACACTATCCTGTTACACTGCATTCTGCGGGTGCGTCTGCGTGTAAACTTCAAGAAGACAGGCAAGCGAGGGCTCCTCTCAACCCAGGAACAATCGTGACTTAGAGCCGGGTAACTGTCACCCCGCCCCAAACAGACGCACATTCACTTTTCCGTGCTAACGAAAAGGCATCAAAATCACAGCTAGACTCTCAAAGCATCCCAGCGCAGTCAGATGACTTGTTTGATTTCGCCACGCCTCAGATTCTTGTAATTTCTGAAGCACTCATGTAGCCTTATATGAGTCAAAATTTAACCCAGTTATATGAGTAGTTCCTAAATCTCATGAGAGAGTTACCAGTGCTTGCTCACTAAATGAGAGATCAGGTCACGTGCCAGGTACAGCAGAGGGATTCCGGCTACGGGGACGGCGAAGATGCTTAGCCGTGCTTGCACAACAGAAACACAGTAGTGGAGCTACAGATGGACGGGGTTTAACTAAGAGCGACAGTGTGAACAATAAACAGGCAGTGGGTGAAAGAGCTCAGGAAACCTGAAAGGACTGTACTGTAACTTAGTGTCAGAGGCTAGAAGGACAAATGAAAGCCGGACATAAGGAAGAGACGACTGCAGTTTACAGATGTAACAGGACATGGAAAGAGCACAGCCCAGGCCTGGCCTGCAGGAGGTGGGTGTGGACAAGCACTGTGCTTTAGAAGTACCGTGTCCTTCTTTTGCTGAGGGAGTGGGGATGGCAGTACAATCCTTACGAGCCTTTCAGCTTTGCAAATCTATTGCTCAGTGTTAGCTCCTAGCACTAGTGTTCTCCCAGAAACTGTTGATAAAATGTTTCCATGATACACATTTATAGAAGTGTTTGTAATTCAACCACAAGGCTCTGGTCTAAGTGTTCACCTCAAAGTCCACATAACTTCAGCTGCGGTGAGGTTAATATTCCACCACTGTTCTTCTCCCGATAAAACATTAGCCAGGGGTCAAGCCTAAGATGATTTGTGCTCCTTGGAACACAGCCATAAAGACCATGAGAAATTTATGATCATGAACTAGAAAAAGGAATCTTTTGTTACATCACTCAGTAAAAGTTTGCCAATTTTTAAATTATTAAGACACACTCAGTAAAAAGGCAAATGGGAGATTGGAGAGACGGCTCAGAGGTTAAGGGTGCTGACTTGCTCTTTTGGAGGAGTTCAATTCCCAGCACCCACATTGCGGGTCACAACTGCCTGTAACTCCAGTTCTAGGGGATCTGATGCCCTGAACACACATGGTGCATATAAATTTATGTAGTCACAAATGCATACACATAAATAAAAAATAAGAAAAATATTTTTTATTTCTTTCAAAAATAAAATGCACAAAGAGGTCAAGAACCAGGGTATTTATTTTGTAACATTGTTTCTAGTAACAAAAGAATGGAGGCAATCTATACATCAGCAAGAAAGAACTAAGTAAATTTTGGCACATGTAGAAAATGGAAGCCATGAGCCCTCCTGGCAGGGCATGCCTGTGTCAGCACTTAGGAGACTGAAGCAAAAGGAGGGTCATTACAAGTTCAAGGTCCATCTGGGCTATGTAATGAATTCCAGGCCACCCTGAGGGAGATCATGCCTCAAAAGAAAATAAGAGGCAGGGGGCGGGGGCACTCATTCCAAATAATACAAATAACAATTAAATAAAGACAATCTCACATGAAGCATATAGAACAATTTCATAAAAGTCTGTGCTCAGAAAAGTAGGTGTGCTAGGCTACCACTTGCACGAAAGAAGACACGCTGTGTGGGTAGACTACCTCTGCCTGGTTTTAGAAGACACTGGTCAAGAATAGTCGCCCTAACAGAAAGGAACTGGGACATGAGTATTATGGGGTAGGAAGAAAACTTAACTTTAAAATCTCTTCAGGGACATTTTAATTTTTTTCTGTTTATATGTACACCTTATCTGTTTTTATTTTAAAAGTTCAACCTTCAAAGAAACAAAAAAGTGAAAAAATATTCAATTGTATAAATAGACACATTCGCTAATGCAAATAGGAATGAGATGGAAAACATCCCAAAATATTGACAGTAGCCGTACCTAAGCAATAGATACATGAATTATTTTCTTGTCATCTATCTCTTAAAACTCTCCAAATATATTATTGAACATCGCTACTAAGGTTTAAAATCCTAGGAAGCTGTACACATTCATCATCAAGTACATGTCTGTCATAATTTGTTCAGCTGGTACAACACATGAAATGAGATGTCTATGTTCATTACATGTCTGAAACTGGTTCAGGCTGGTACTCCGTACACTGGCTCCAGACTCACCCTTGAATTATATAAAGACTCCTTGATACTCAAGTTTGGGAGAGAAGCCTGGAGAGAATTCATATTCGACTCTATTCCTTGACCTGGGGAGACAGAGAAAGGGGCTAAGAGTCATACATTATCAAATGAATCTTCAATAGTGCCTCAGGCCTGGGCAACTGTCACCAACCTGCACCACCTGAACTCAAAACACCAGCTAGATGACTCTTCTGCCATCAGTAAGAATGATTGGAAAAGGGCTGGAGGACTGATTCCAGAGGTAAAAGCACTTGCCACCAAGTCTGGCAACCTAAGTTCAATCCCCGGAACCCACGTGGTAAAAGAAATGTCTTGGTTTTTCGAGACAAGGTTTCCCTGTGTTGTCTTGTCTGTCCTGGATTCACTCTGTAGACCAGGCTGGCCTCGAACTCACAGAGATCTGCCTGTTTATGCTTCCCTGAGTGCTGGGATTACAGTGTGCCACCGTGCCTGGCTTATAAACATACTCTTAAATTAAAAGGCAAACTGAATGCCATTCCTGTCATTCAGAACGAGGGCAGGCTGCCGTGTAACTCAGCGGGCCTCCGTCATGATCTCTATGCCATGACCCAATGGTAACAGTGACCCACTAAGAGAATCCAAGCTGAGGCTGAGGCTGGGGCTGGGGCTGGGGCTGGGGCTGGGGCTGGGGCTGGGGCTGGGGCAGAAAGGGGAGGTGGTGTAAAGGAGAAGGCTGAGCCCCTTTATTAAAGAAGGAAATCAAAAGGGACCTTTCCCATGCCTCTGAATGAAACACAGCGCACATGTAGGGCGGCGATCAGACCGGGCGACACCACCCAGAGATGGATGGGCATCATCAGGGCCCTCCTGGCACCAGACAGGGTTCAACCTACAACCAAGGTCCTGAACGTTTACGGCCTCTCTGCCTGTGAAAAACAGAGATCCACACACCCTGTAGAGCCCAGAATGTTAAGAAATGCTTGGTGGCAGTTTTCAGAGGGAGGAGATTGGCCAATGGAATTGGGACGTTGGGATATTGATGGCTATAGAGGAACATAACCCTCTTGACACAGGCTACAGGGAGGGCTGGGATGCTTGGGGGCTGTTTCAAGCACGCGTGCAACCGATGCAGCCTCACTGACCATTCCTGCCGTGCCCAGAGTAAAGTACGGAAGACCCCAGAGAAGCCAAAACTCTCTTACCGGACTGAGTGTACTTTTGGATTTTTGTCTTCAGGTCCATTCTGTGGATGTTCTTCAGGCACTTTTCTAATAGAGTCAGCTGATCCGAAGCAATCAGATTCAGTTTCTCCAGTTCAACCACCAGATCCAAGAAACTCTAAGAGAGCCATCAACAAAGAAACACATGTGAGTGGAGCTGGACGGTCCCTGGGGGAAACTCTAGGCCATCTGGTCATAACAGCAGGAAAAGGTGACAAGATGAGACCTTCCCATGACCCTTGTTGATCCCAATCCAGACAGCTCCGCCCAGAACAAATAACCCTCCTGAATTTGAGTCAAAGAGCTGGGGTTGGGGGAGGCTGAAGCACCACCTCAGGCGGTGGACTGCTTGCTCAGCATGAACGATGCCCGGGTTGATCCCCAGCACCACATAAACCAGATGTGCCGGTGAACATCTGTAATCCCAGCACTCAGGAGATAGAGGCAGGAAGACCAGAAGTTTTAAGATCATCCCAGAAGTTTCAAGGCCATCCTCTGCTACACAGTGAGGCCAGCCTGGACTACAGGATAGTGTGTGTGTGTGTGTGTGTGTGTGTGTGTGTGTGTGTGTGTGTGTGATTAGAGGAGTGGTGCTAATCCTTTGGCCATAAACCTGTCCCAGGACAGACAGACACAAGGGCTGTTTTTCTTCAACATGGAGTCATTAATGATCAGGCCTAAGAATAAGCTCTTCCTGAGATAATACTCTTATAAAAACCAAGACCGGCATCATACTAAATGCAGTAAGGGCATCCCAGAGTGGGGGTGGGGCAGGGTGCTGAAAAGAGAATGTGACTAAGGGAAAGATTGATATAAGAAATCCTCATAGTGCCGTTTGAAAGTTCTTCAACTGCTTTCATCAACGCTCAGTGTTCCAGATCATTCTGACTGAATAGGTGGCTATGAGGAGGAACAGGACTCTCCTACTCACTCCACTGAAACCACCAGCGTCATTAAAGAGCTATATTTTGAGAGCAAGCATTGCTTTGGATTTTATTTTGCTCACATTTAACCCCTGGCTACTTACCTGTTATTTTACAAAGACAGTAAGCATAATTAATTATACAGAAATGGCAGGAGTTGATTAGAGAGCCGCCTCCCAGCCCCCCAAGACCCCTGTTTTCATTTTCTTCCTCATTCTGCATTTGCTGTGGGGACAGGCCTGAGGAAACTCCCAGAGGCAGGGGAGCCACCCGCAAGAGTGTCACCACCAGGGATGTAGTTCCCCTTGCCTCACCCACAGGTTAGGCAAGCCAGGTGGGGTTATCAGGAAGCACTCCTCAGCAATCCCAACAGCTCTAACCCCCACGCCCGCCACTTCCCAGACAGATGAGTCAGAAGGAGCGACACCTCCCACACTCCCCCAAACCACCTCCAGGCGCTGCTGAGGGCGAGCAAGAGGAGCGGACCAGCAGGCCTCTCGGGGCTCTGCTCCACACAAGCAGAAGAGAGCGGCCACATCAGAGAACTGACACAAGCCAGGCCTGTGGATTTTGCAGATATCAGGACCAAATCAAAACATAAAAGAAAACACCCAAGGCCAGGAGACAGCAGTAACCTATTTTCTTCTCAATTAAAGACCGGATCTCTTGCTGCTGATGTGATGGAAAACCACCTCAGATGTGTGGGAACACTCTCCTCTTTTATACCACAAGGAGCAAAGCCCTACTTCCGGTGGCTTTTTGAAACAGGACCCCCACACACACCAAAAAGAAAAAAGGACCACTCACCTTGTCCTTGGCCACCTTGCCTCGCCCTGTGTAATCTCTTGTAAGGAAGACTAATGAGGAGACATCAGATTTATCCAGACTCTCACCAATTTCCATCATCAGCACCCTGCAAACCACAAAAGTTTCTTTAGTAAACCCAGACAGGAAGCTCAGAGCCCATGCTTCCCCTAGGGTAACAATCCCCTGGACTCTGCCCTGACTCCATCAAACAGGGAGCCTTGATACTTCCCCAGGGGGTTATAAGAAAATTTCAAAAAGAAGACTGATCTTCTTCCACTTGTTCGTTTGGTTTGGTTTTCAGAAACAGGCTCTTGCTGTGTAGCTCTGGCTAGCTACACAGTAGCTGTCACTGTGTAGACAGATCAGCTTCCAGCCTGCCTCACCCACCTGCCTCTGCCTCCCAGGTGCTGGGGTTACATGCATGTACTACCCCACCTGGCCCTCCATTGGCTTGCACTAGGACACAGTACTTCCCCCTTTTAACTAACAGCTCTGAGAACAACTGGGAAAGTAGAGACTTCCCTGAAAAAAACCCCTAGGTCTCCACAAGTAATAGTGAAATGAAACAAATGAGTAATGGGAAAGAGATTTAGAGTAGCCTTGTCCTCTGTTTGACAAGCTCTGGGTGACACTGCTCTAAGAACCATACTCTGAGTCTCAGGGTTCTAAAACAAGTATCTTCAATTTACAAAAAGTAAAGTGTCCGCCATGGGGCTTCTGACCACAAATGTTTAGTCTAGAAAGCCAGAACGAGGTCGCCTCTGTTCTGGCCGGAGCAGCCATGAATGACACTTTATCAGGACTCCTTGGATGCCTCATGGCACTGTGAGGAAGGCTGTTTTCCCAGGTAGACTCTCACATTCTTAGGGATGTGAGTCTTCAGTTCTTTCCTGCCCCAAGCTTAGCTGGACCCCTGGCCTGTGCTGATAGGAGGCCTGCTGAAAACATGGACGAATGGGTCAATCGCTTCACCCCAACTGCCAGCCTCTTCCAGAGGGCTTGATGTTCCATTCCTACTCACTGCACCTGAACCTAGTGTCTGAGACCCAGTCAGTGTCCCCCAAATGTGTGAGATCACTGACATCAGGCAATGGCTGAAGAGATGAAAAATTAGCAAGAATAACAATAACCCCAAGCATCTTCCCTGTGCCACTTGGTACACTATCCGAAGAGACGCATGAACTTGTGAAGCGACGTGATGGTTTGTGGTACTGGGATTCAACCTAGAACTTTACACAGCCTAAGCAAGCGTCTACCACTGAGCTCCAGCAAACATCCCCACATCCGCTCTGCCTTTTCAGCAGGGTCTTCCTCAGACTGGCCTTGAACTCACAGTCTTCCTGCCTCAGTCTCCTGAGTAGCTGGAGTTGTGGGTCTTTGTCACCAGGTGTAGCTGGCTGAGCTCTATTGTTCTTTACTTTGTAAGGCTAGAAACTGACTCAGCTTGTATGGGCTGTGACCGGTACGTCAGGTTTAACAGAGGCCTTCCAACTCCAGCTTCAGCACTTTCCAAAGCCCATGCTGCCTTCAGCTCTTTTCAGAAGTTTTGATAATAGACACCATCTCCAAATACATATTACACAACCAAGTGAGCTAGCGGTCTGGAGGAACAGGAAGCAATCAATTTAAAGAAACAAGGTCACTTTGTTGCCTCAGAAAACTCAGTCCTTCCAGGGGAGTAGCTCGGAGGCTTTGGACTTAAGGGTCTCTGACAGTTGGTCCAACTTTAACCAGAAGGGTAGTTCATGGAAGAAAGGTCTGTCTTGAGCTCCTCAGTGCCAGAAAGAGAAGTACAAGAAGGAACACTGCAATAGGAACCACCCTACTGCACTTCCTTGGCTAGCCAGGGCAAGGGCGGAGGAGATTTAGAAAGGGTCACAGTTCTATGAAGGCAGGAAGTTTACTCAGGCTTGGTATTTCCTTTCTCAGTACCAGAAATTTTCAAAGCATTACAGCTCCTACACCATTGGTGGCTGGCAAGAGAGCATGACACTATACTTCCTTCTTCCTTCTTGTCAGTCTGTCCTTTGGGCAAGCATACACCATCTGCTCTGTCCACCTCCAGTACGATCTTTTTCCCAGTTGCTTACCCATTATACAGCCTTTTTTTTTTTTTTTTAATTCAAACAAGCTATGATTCCACATCTGAGGCAAGAGGATTACTGAGTTGGAGGCCCAGCCTTGGCAACACGGTAAGTTCTAAGCTAGCCTGGGCTATAACAGGCTACTAAAGAACAATGCAAAGCAAACAAACAAACAAACAGAATCCAGAGACGCCAGGTAGTGGTATGACAGGTAGTCCGGCCAGAGGCAAGAGGACGCGATGGGGTTCTTCTCACTGCCCTCACCATCCACACCACCCATCTCCCCTCCCCCAGTGCATCCTGGGCTGGAGCTGGTGAGTTACCTATAATCAGAAACAAGGTGAGGGCTTCTGCTCAAGTGAGCCTCCACGGTCGCTTTGTCAGTCTTCAGAATCCTCTTGAGCAGGTCAAAGCGCCTCACTCTGTAGAGCAGTTCAGCCAAGGCAGCGAAAGACAGCAGGCCTCTCTCACTCAAGCTCCCTAGGAGGTCCCTGACATTAGGTGGAGCCAGGTTTTCGGCAGCATCTCTACATAAGAAGAGCATCATCTCCTTCTCTTCCTCGTCAAGACACTCTTCCACCTGGTGAATGACCTCAGCGGACACGGGACCCAGCGCCATGCTCAGCACCTCAGCAGCCAAGCTCTCACCCGGCTTCCATCCACTCAGCAGGGCTCCTCGAACCGTGAGAAGCCGACACCATTTCTGCGGGCTTTCTTCATTGCTTTCAGAGTTCTTGCAATAGAGGCACTCTGTGATGAGAGAACGCTTTTAATCCTCTTATCAAAACACTTAACGCCTGAGAGTCAAAGCACAGGATGTTCCTTTCCTACTGCTCTCCCTCAGTGACAAGATTTGAGTCTCCCTTTTAAGTCACCAGAAAGAGATGCTCAGGAGACAGCGTCAGAGACTGACACCAAAAGCCAAGAGACACAGAAGAAAACCCAGACAGTCAAGGAAATGAAATTAAAGACAAAAATCATGTCCAAAAAATCCCACATGGTTTAGTGAGAATGTAAAGTACCAGAGGGGAAATCACTGCTGGGGAGCTAATGACTAATGACGAAGTTACGATGACAGGCCTCACGGGAGGGGGAAAAAAAGTCCAGTAAGCAGCTGACTTGAGAAACTTGTCATAGAGGTTACCGCCCACTCTCCTAGGCCCCACAAAAGCGTCCTAAACAAATGAACAAGAAGAGGCTTCTGTCCTCTCCCCGCTCCCCTTCCCCAGTTGCTGTCTCACTCTTACACCCCTCGCTCACGTCAGTAAACGCTGCTGCACGCCCCCCCCCACCCTTGCTCACAATTTCATCATGAATGCCCACCATGAATGCCTGCCGGTGGGGCCGGATGAATAGCTTTGTGGGTTCTGATTAGGTCCTCCGACCTTGAGCTCCAGGAATGAACCAGATCCAATCCTCACTACACTGCTCCATGGCAGCAACGGCCGTCAAAACGCTCGCTGGCATCAATGGATGTAGCTGGAAGGCTTGGCAGGAGCACGCTTCCGGTGAGAGCTGCTGAGATGTCCAGCTCCAGGCAAGACTGTATACTGTCAACCTCTTCTATCAGACTGAGCAGTTCTAAACTTTAGGCTACAAATGATAACCACTGACTATTCTTTTGGTTTTAATTTTAAAATACATTTATTTGTTTGTATGTATGTAGGCAGGGAATGAATGGGTTTCTGGGCATGCCACATGCAACTGGAGGTCAGAGGCCAACTCTTAGGAGTCAGTCCTCTCCTTTTACGTGGGTCCGGGGATTGAATTCAGATCATCAGTATTGGCAACAAGCACCTTTATCCACTGAGCCATCTTGCCAGCCCTTATACGTGAGACCTTGTCCCTGAGCAAAAAATAAACAAACCACTCTGATCTCAAAGGAAAAAAAACAGACACATAACCCAACTCTTAGTTGATAATGGTTTCACATATTTTGTATAATGATATTTAAGTATTTATCTAAGATTGGTATGTCAATTTTAACACCCATTTACTCCAAACTTAAACAGAACTACTTATAACTAAAGGATTGAAACTTACAAGAATCTTCTTTCAATGTAGCAAAAGCAGTGCTCAGAATTCTTAAGAAAAAAAAAAAAAAGGCTCCATACCAAATGTATGTCTCTCAGATGTCAAGAGCCTGCATATGCCCTTCACAGAACAGCGCTGCCAGTGCCTGCGACAAGAAGGCAACATCCTTTTCTATTCCCTAGAAGCTGTAACGTTCTTAGTAAGCGCTATTATACATTAACCTCTAAAATAGTTACATGTACAACAAGAGGTAAGGGGGGAAACAAAACGAGATCGCTAAACATAAGAGCGAGAAACAGTACCCAAAGTCTCCAGGCATTCTTGAAAAAGAACCAAACAAAACTAGCAGAAACAAACGGCTCAATTCTGCCCGCAAAGGCAGTCATCTGACTGGGGTGGCTCATTGCAAATAAAGCAGCGCCTTCCGGCGTTAACCCGGGGGCAGCTTCTGTCAGGTCTCCCCGACGGTCAGGCCCACGGTGCCTTCCGCCAGCCACCAACACTCCGGAGTGTAAGAGCACCGCTGTGCTATCTCCCGCTGCACTCGCACCCAATACCAGTTACTCAGGGGAGCCTCCGGTAGGGTAACAAAATATCAGAAGGAAAAACAGGGATCCCTGAGCAGAGCCAGGCCACCTCAACGCAGCAAACCTCTGTGTCTGGAAGCTGGTGTCACCGTGGGCCACTCTCTATGGCTGTGGACACTGGACATGTGACAGAGAAAAAGTACAGAAATAAGGGGTTTAAGCGGGATCAAAATAGTCACTGTCTTGTTGGGTTTTTTGTTGTTGTTGTTACACCCAGGCCATGAAATTATCATAAAAAGTTCCCCAAAAGACTAGAAAAGTCAGCAAAGCCTTCTGAAGCAAAAGCCCTTCAAAAGATCCCCTTCCTAACAGAGACAGAGGATTTCTCTTTCTTTCTTTCTTTTTTTCTTTCTTTCTTTCTTTCTTTCTCTCTCTTTCTCTTTCTTTTTCGTGTGTGTGTGTGTGTGTGTGTGTGTGTGTGTGTGTGTGTGTGTGTG